TACTTTTCCAAGTAAAAGGTTAAACTATATAATGTGTGCTTGTTGGATTGTAAATATGGAGCATCAAATAATGAGACATAAATAAGCACAGACCAGTATTTTCATTTATGACAGAAATTCTGTCATAAAAATAACATATCCCTGATGCTGAGCAAAACGATGTCACAACAACCAAAAGAAGTCCTCCCAAAGGCATATAACTTTAATAAAGCTTAATGCTTCTGCCTACTGTGATGAGGGAAAACTAAAATGTTGGCTCTTCAGGTCAAATAAAAGACCTTTAATGGTCTCTATGGCATATCCTGAACTTTTCTGTATTGGATGGGCTGAGAGTTCATTGTTAGAAATGGCATGATTACAGTTTGTCTTATGATAAACTAAAATAGCAGATTTATTCACATTACAGTAAGATTCCTCTGCAATGTATAACTCAATTTCATATCTTTTTAAGCAAATCAACAAAATCTAGTTGAGTAGAAAGCAAGAATGGAAAAGAGCAAGAATCAAGTCAGAAACTGGACCTAGACTTGTCAATGGTCATTCTGCTCCTTGGAGCTGACTTCAACATGGTCCCAGTCAAGCTGTTTTCTAACACATTTATGGATGGATAAAATCAATACTTTGGTGAAACAATTACAGAAAATTATTTAGCTAGAAGAAAATGTCATACCATGTACATAAATGTTGTAAGATTCAGTCTTCATCACTTTTTGAAAGCCACATTAAACAAGCTTTTGCACTTATTTCTCTTTAAAAGTTACATAATCAGCACTCACTGGAAAAGACGTATCAAATGTTTATCATATCTGTACAATTTTACTGACCTCTATATGTTTAGCAATCACAGACATGGTAGATGGAAGACAGGAAACCAAATCAACACAACTAGAACTCAAAAAGCCTGTGAGAAATACACTGCCTTCCAGCTTTGGTTTCCAAGATCAGTTCAGATTTCCACTAGTCAACTCAACAAGCACAGCAGCACCTATTTCAGGGTAGATGTTTTCATGTGATAGATCTGGTTTTGATTGATTTTAACAGTGGTGCTATCTGCTTTCCAAGTAAATCTGAAAAAATGTAATGATGCCTGTGTTGCTCTTTGGGTTAGTACTGGTTTGAATATAAGGGTTCACCTTCTCAGCTAGAAGTATGCAAAATATGTATAAGCTTGGAATTAACATTATCTTGCAGAACTGTTTGATTCACATTAAAAGCTATCACGTCTCACTACCACATACCTCCTGTATAAATAGAAATCTCCATTTAAATGTCTACAATTCAAAATTTTGCAACAGATTACGTAACTCCTAATGTTTCCTGTAACTGAAAAAGACTGTAATAAGATTTTAATTATGACCTCGGCAATCCTGATATTAATACTTTACTTACTGTCAGATACAGGAACAATTCTTAGTATATATGAAGGGATGCCCAGAAAACTGCTTTGAATTGCTAGAAACATTCTTGAAAGGCAAATTTTAAATTGTTCAAATCATTGCAGAAGATTAAGTTCTATTTTCAAAACAAGTTAACAGAAAGAGAGCATAATATCTACTGCTCAGAATGGTTTTAAACTTTGTTTTTGTAAATCTAGGTTGTGTTATTCTACTCCGGGGGGTCCATAGGCAGGACCTACCTGGGGCAGTCTGGTTTGTAGAGACAACAGGGAGAGTCCAGGGACTGGCCACTTTTAGCCTTCACTGCATATTCTAGATGATGTTGTGCAGTGCCCATATTTAAGACTGAATTTCCTTAGGGCAGCCAAAGCAGCAAGCCTGGCTGATTACCTGAGAAGTGCAAACTGTGCCTGTTATAGCTAAATTAATGGTTGGCAAAAGGCTGAAAAAGAACAGATTAACATGAAAATTAAAGAGCTAGCATTGCAATCATTTATAGCCAAGCTAAAATTAGTGCAGTGAAACGAAAATAGGAGCTGCAGGACGCAGAATTTCCCAAGTGTGCTGTGGGCTTGCTCCTGGCTGGAGCTGCTGGGCACACCCAGCACTAAGGCCCTGGCAGGCAGCGCTTGCGGCGTGAGGATGAGGAGTGCTGTGTGAGGAGAAAGGACACTGTGCACACACAGCTGGGCCCATCTGGAAAAACTGTTTTTGATTTTGAGCTTGGTAGCAAGCCAGCTGTGGCCAGGTTCCTTGAGGGTAGGCTGAATAGTCACTCACAGATGTTTCAAGGATGAAAAGAGAAGGCTGGTCACCGCAAATAAATTGATTTGCTGCTGTAATCCTGCTCAACAACATTCCCTGAGGTACCTACACGCACGCTCTTGGGCCACTGGCACTTGGCAGGGTGTGTGAGCCCCACCTGGGTGCTGCTCTCCTGCTGTTACATCCCCACTGGACCACAGCTGATTGGGCTGAGTGCAGCCCCCTGCACCCAGCATGGCAGGACACCTTTAGGAGAGCACAGCCATTTGCCACCCTCAGCTTTGTAAGCAGCAGAGAACGACAAAGTCAAAATGTGCCATGATCACGTGTTGGATTTCTTTTCACAAAGGCTATCAGGCTGTGCGGTCACATCCACAAAACCACCTATTCAGTGTCTTGCCAAATTTACAGCATTCAGTGGGAAGGAATCTGCAGGAGGGTTCCTGCAAGTGTGATTCATCCCTTTAGCTTTTATATGTTAGGAAACAATCCTTAGGTTCAGGATCACAAACTGCGTTGTATCGCAAGGTCAAAGTTTCTCTCAGTGCACAAGATGAACAGACTAGAGGAGTCTCCCTTAAATAAGCATGTTCCTAAATTTACAGAATAGAACACATTTTGATGATGTCAATACTTGAAAATTCAGGTTTTTGCCATTGTCCTGCCAATACACTGCTGTTTAAGCTTTTTATTTTAAAACTCCTCTTAGGTGCCATCTCCTCTGCACTGCTGGCTGTACATATGCTCCTCTGACTTACAGGAGATTTTTCAAATGCACTGATTTTAGATGCTGACACTAGCCTACAGCACTGAAAATATCTCCTCCTCAAGTCCAAGACTGATAACTAATTCACAAACCAAATGGGATGAAACAGTTTAAAATATTTTGTCACCTTAAAAACCACCTGATATCCTTAATATAGTGTTCAGCTCAGGAAAGATTTAACTGTATGTTGAAAGCATACCAAGCACCATGTACTCTATGGGAAAGAGAGGACCAATCTCTGAGAGCAAAAATACTAAAAAATTAGCCTTGGCCACCATTTACATCTGCAGCAAAAATGTGATTCTAGCATTGCCAGTGTGTCTTTATGTTAACCACTGTTTGCTGAGTCTAACTGAAATTCTCTATTTTTAGCCTTTCAGCTACTTTCAGATAAAATTCCTGCAGATAGGACTAGCTGTATAGGGCAGATAACATACAGCTCTGAAACCACAGATGACCTCATGGAACTGCAAAGAAAGAAGGGTCTGTTACTTAAAACAAGGCTAAAATTTAACCCAGCTATACTAAAATTATACAGGGAGTGTTTTACAGTCCCATTACAAGACATAAAAAGCCAGTCACTATAAATTCACAGTGTACTTATTTGTAAAGATGTAAAAAAGAGTAATTAATAACCCCCAAACAGCTTATCTCTGAGCCAGTACAACACTGAGGCTTTCCCAGGCTCGCTGGAGATTTTACAAATGGCACTGAGAAGCTGCTTTAGCTGCCATTTGAGAATTATTTGTCCACACTGAAAAGTCATTGCTCTTTGTCACAAGTCACAAGACATTTCTTAGCGTTCCACACTTTTAGTTGACATTATGGAGAGAAAACAAATAAATGTAATCCAAACTTTCTGGAAAGGGCTTCCATGTGTAAGAACACATATTAACCACAGATGTGAGGGAGCACTGCACAGTGATTCTTTTTTGTGCTAAGTGCACACTACCTTCCTCTCTTCTACTTTACTCTTCCTGTGTGTCCCCCAATATATCAAAAGCAACCTGTTTCCTTTAAAACACCATTATTTCCAGGAGAATGAAGTGCAGTCCTGAGAACTATCATTCAAGTTTATTGAAGTAATCCAGGAGAAATGTGTATGGAATGGGCATGTCACAAGTAAATCAATGCAGATCAGTGTGTTAATTTGTAGTCCTTGGGATGTACTGCTCATACCTCTTTTAGTTTGCAGAATATTTGCTCGATATTTCTTCAGAAAAAAACCTTCATGAGGTTACCACATATTTCCGGTAGTGGAAGAAATACTCTGAGAGTTCTTTTCCTCAGGAAAAAGTTTCAGTCTTAATAATTAATGAACAGGTCAGATACATGAGTGAAATAACTAAAGTAAAGAAATGCTCTCACTCCCTCACCAAATCACTCTAAGAGATGAGTAAAAGATTCAAACTATCCTTCTTAACTCTTCCTTTCTTTCCTAAATATAAGCATAGGCAAACTTCTATTTTTTAACAATGACACAACCTCTACCTGTCATCTATTTTCACAAGCACAGCCAGCATTGAAATAAAGGCTTACAAAGCACTTAACTATTAATTTGTTATTATAGAACGAGTCTGACTTTTTTGGATTTGTGTCACTTGGAAGGAGAAATTCCACTTATCATAAGGAATGAAAACCAGGACGGAACAAGGTTTGCTATTTCCCTCTCTAAGGAATTGTAGGTGGACTTACGTAAACAACAGAGCAAAGATCAAAGGCAAATCTTAGGGACCATAATATACTGAGTTATTAAAGGAACAGAGCCTTTTATCTATTGTGGAGGAAGGAAGTAAAGTATTGAGACATATGTAATATATGCAATTAAAAATAAAAAAAACCCAAACAAGTCCCAGAAGAGACTGAAATCAATTAAATTGTGGGCTTTTTCTTATTCTGTTAAAATGACGAGAACCAAAAATGCAATCTGTGACAAAAATTATACTCCATCACCTGGAAAAGCCAGGCATTCAACTCTATTTTAAGTTGAATTTTCCTTCACATCCTATGAAACAAGCACTGTTCGATCACAAACCATGTCCTCATTCACTGCCAGTTCAACTGAGGCTTACCTTGTCCTCCACTCTGTTCAGCCTGGCACCAATCGTGTTATTTCCTCGATCTTTGCTTTTCTCTGTGGAACAAGAAACATTTTCAAATTAATATATGGTGGTATAACAGAATAGCAGCAAACCACAACAGGGTGTGTTTAACTAGCCCACCAACACCGTGTAACTGAACACCCTTACCAGGCTGATAGATCCATTTCTTAAAAGTGCTTTTCTGTTTCTTTTTATAGCATTGGCCTATGCCAGGGCTTTTAATAGCCCTGAGTTTAAGGCATTTATAATCTTCGTTTTCTGCTTTAACCACAGAGAGCAAAAATGTTCCCAATTTAGTTAATGTTTTAATTGCCACTTAAAAAACAATCTGCCAACTTGAATGACACATTTGGTAACATTTTATCTTTTTTTCCTCACACTATATATAGAAAAATGACTGTTCAAATGACATAAACAAAAAGTTTTCATTACCCAGACTTGTCACAAACAAACTTAGTTCTTTGTGCTCCTTTTCTGGTGTTTTTTCAAAGCTACCAAAGATCTATGTGAATACTACAAATTTCACAGGAACTCTGTAATCTTAGCACACCAATTTATTGAATATATAGTGAGTCTCAGAAAGACCAGAGCCAACATTTGAAAATTTAAGTGAAAGTAGGTGCTTTCAGAATCTAAATAAGAACAATCCTAATTTAAATCCTAATTTAATTTACAAGTGTTGATGACTAAATATTATTGTCAATGCTTAATCTTCAGAAGCCAACCAGTTGGCACAGTTTAAAAATTTGGCAATAAAATGAAAAGTATTTTAGGAAATATTTTCCATTAATGATATGTTCATCAGATTAATTTTAGACACATCCTTTGTATTGACTTACCTGAGACAGAGATAAAAAGAGATGGCTTTCCTATGGACTGGTCCAACCTATAAAGCAAAAAGAAACATTTTTGTTTTTTATCAGCCTGAACCAGCACCTCCACTCTCTAGCTGGAGCAGGGAGGCCTCTTCACAAACCAGCAAAGTGAAATTCAAATAATTCTGGTTCGTCCTGTGAGTGAAGCAGTTGCTTTATGCTAAGAGTAGCTTGAAATGAAAAATATAGTAGCAAAATTCAATTTGACTTAGATTGCTCTACAGCTTCTTTAACCACTGTAAAGTTTTACCATGCCCATTACTTTTCCACATGCTCAGCATTGATTTGTCTTTTCCTTGTTCTTCTGCAGCTTTCTTGTTGCATCTGTCATCTCTTAGTTGGCTCTTATGTGCAATTCTACCAGAGCAGGTGGCTTCACTCTCCAGGTGTAAAACAGCCCCTATCATATAGGGACTGCAGTCTATAGTCACAGCTAGCAGGGGCTGAGATAATACATATATGTCCCAAACATCAGATATTTTAGCTTTTTGCCTTTTCCTCCACGTGTGAAAAGAAAACTTGACACAAATGCCATAACTGTGCCATAGTTGTGCCATAATTTTGCACAGTCCTGCCAATATGGCACCTTTAACCCGTGGGCCCCAATCACTGCCTGATTTACAAACATCCTTTTGCTCATGGGTACCAAGACTGGGCTTCACTGACGTACCTCCTCTGCAGCTCCTTGATCCGCACCATCAGGTTGAGGTGGCCCTGGGAATACTGCTCAATAACGTCTCGGACATCATAGGGCTTCCTGGCTTGCTGTAAAGTAAGAGACAAAAAACCATGCCCTTAACTCACAAGGATGGAGGAATGGTCTGTGGCAACGTAGATATTTTTGAAGAGTAATCAGTAAGTTCTTTTAGCACTGTGTAAACATATGCGTTATTCTGATTGCTGCCATGATACACATTTTTTATGGAATAATTCTGACAGTTCTCATTTCATCCACCTTTTTGTTACTGCATGTATGTATTTCAAGAGATAATCCACTGAACTGGAGCTCAAAAGAACTTGGAGCCAAAAAGAGTTTATCTGGCACTGTGTTCAGAAGTCTGTGCATACTCTAGTTCCTTCTGGAAATAAGGTTCATACTCCTTGGCCTCTGAAAAATAGAGGTCTTGCACAAACCCCTGTTCTCAGCCAGCAGCTGGGGCTCACAGTTCAGGTCTTACCGTGGGAAGTTAAAACACAGCTCTAGAGGAAGGTGCATGACTGATTTCCTCTCCCAGAAAGACTGGCTGAGCTTTCAAGACTGCTGGGAAACACTAGTGCAAGAAATGCCCCGTGTCTGTAATTTGCACCTGATACACAGGAAAGACTTAATCTGACCTATTATTAATAAAACAACTTTTGTGTAGTATAGAGGCAATAGTATCAAGATAAAGGCAATAGTATCAGCCTATAAGACACCAAGACCAACCAGAAAGCAAATGAACAAACATGTTGAACAGTAGCAACAAATTAAAGGTATCTTAATATAATATCTAAAATCTAGAGTCCAGTCAGTGCCAAAACTGGTGTTCCCAGCACAGGAAAGACATGGATCTGTTAGAACAAGTCCAAAGCAGGCCACAAAGATAATCAGAGGGCTGGTATAGACAAGGTGAGAGAGTTGTGTTGTTCAGTCTGGAAAAGAGAAGGCTCCTGGGACACCTCATTGGAGCCTTTCGGTATTTGAAGGGGGCTTTTAATAAAAATGGGGACAGATTTTTACAAAGACCTGTAGGGATAGGACAAGGGGGAAATGCCTTCCAACTGAAAGAGGGCAGTTTTAGATTAGGTATTAGGAAGAAATTCTTTAGTGTGAGGATGGTGAGACACTTAAATGGGCTGGCCAAAGTGTGGATTCCCCGTCCCTGGAAACATTCAAGCTCAGGTTGGGAGGGGCCCTGAGCAACCTGACTGGGTGAAGATGTCCTTGCTCATGGCAAGGGGTTTACAGTAGATGACCTCTAAAAGTCCCTCCCAACCCAAACTATTCCATGATTTCTGACTGATTCGTTATGCTGCTGTGGAAACTCTGCAGATAATTTTCAAGGTTTTGTAAAAACCTTGGTCACATTGAGTTACAAGTTCTCCCTTCTTGCATCTTTTGAGAACAAGGAAAAGAGTTTTCAGTGGCAACTTCTAAGATACCAGAATTTGGGTCCCTTTTGAAGTCTCAGAAGTATTTTGTCACCCGTACTTCAAAAACAGATGTGTCTGCACTGCTTTATCTTATTTCCCAAACATCAGGATTTCCTCAGTTCCATGCCATAAACACCATTTTTTTTCTAAGCCAAAGGAAAGTGGGATACCATACAAAAACCAGGCTTTTGAGACTGTGGCACCTTCATGCAGTCTCCTGCACCTACCTTGGGAAGTGGCTCCTACATTTCAGGAATGATTCCTTTAATAACACCACTTCATCAAAGTATATCTCAGTCTCCCAGATTCCCCAAGTCAACTGCAAGCCTTGGGTGAATGTGAGACACTCTCTGCTGGAAGGCTAAGCAGGACTGGGAATTGATTCAATCTAACCAAGGAGCACAGAAGAATTCCCAACTGCTTACAAACACGTAAATCATAACTAACATCCACAAAGAAAGAAATATGATTCTGTGATGGCATAACCCTATAAATCTTTCTGTGGACTAGTACTGTAAACATGATAATATAAAAAAAACCCAAAAAAAACACCAAGAACTGAAAACCTGGAGTAAATATATTTTATGAATGAGGCTAAACTTCTGAGTAAAACTGGGTATTTAAATCAATACTGATTTTTCTGTAACTGTTTCATATTGAAAGTTGATCATCTATGAGAAAATACTCCTGATGCTGAACATATAAAAAGCCAGAAGCAGGCAACAAATTAGTATGGAACAGACAAAAGCAGAAGTGAGTCCCACGGATTTCCTTAACTGCTTCTCTTCCTTACTTTTGGTCCTCTACTAATTAAGCAAAACTCATGGCAAAATTCTTCTTAAATACGATAAAATTTCCCCCATCATAAATTAAAGTTTTTAAAAGGCACAAAACCCAATGCCAAATATTAAATGTGCACCACTGGCTGTGGCTGTTGTTGTTCCCTAGTGACTACATGGGCAGGGAGGGAGACCTGGGAAAGGGGAATCCAGGAAAGGGGAATTTCTGGGAAATGCAACCATGTAACATCAAATAAAATGGGCAGAACACCCTGTGAAGCACAGGACACTAAAATACATAGTTTAGTACAGCCCAGCATGGAGATTAGAAAAGATCACACACACAATTCACATGAATCAAATAATATGATGAATGACAAGACTATAAATGTAATATTTTCCAGGGAAATTGTAACAAATCAGGCAACAGTTATGTCATCAGTAAAACTGCAACCTTTATTTTTAATTTATGCTATGTATAGAATATTTGCCATGGTAAAAATCATACCACAAGTTAAAAAGCTATTTTAGAAGGAAATTAATTTACTCAATTGGAAGAATTTACATGGAAAGAAAATTTTAAAAGTTCTCAAAATGAAAATGGGAAATCAGAACAAATTCCTGGTCTCTGTATCTGTGATGGCTATCACAGCTGTATCCATCTACATTTGTTTTAAGACCTCTAGAAACTTTCAGAATCAGGAAACAAAGGTTATTATTTATTACATAAATCATGCTAATGGGATAACTGAGTATGACAATATTTTTTTCTGAAATTCCCTTGTAATACTAGATTATGTCAAAAACATCTGCTTTACAACTAACATGTAAAATTCATTTTTGGTAGGCAGGGTGAACAAATGCTAAGAAAAGCATTAATTTCTAAGTCTGTTTTCCCTATAATCTACAAAATCCTTCCTTAACTGTAAGTCATTCACCTTCACTGATGCACAGGACTTGTGATGAATGTGATTGTTTGTATAGAATTTGAAACAGTCCTACAGACTTTACGAGAACATAAACACATCCATAAAATTGTATTTATTCTTTATAATATTATGCTGGGTTCATGGGTTATACATGGGCATCTTCATAAGGACTATATCTAAACCTGAACTTTGAAATACAGCCTGAATTTCTCTCCTTTTTAAAGAGGAAATGATACTTCACAAAGACTTGCTTTTCATGTCCTTTGGAAACCTTTGTATCCCTTTTTGGCTTTTCTTTATTTGATTTATTTATTTATTTATTTATTTTTAAACAGGAAGGCTTTGCTTTGTAACTGGCTTTTGTCCTTCTGATGCCATCACCCCCTGTTATTAACAGACCTTCAAAAAATATATCTAGTCAAATTTAGGCCTACAGGTGTGTCCTGCAAACAGCTGGTATAGTTTAAGAACCATGCTGGGTTCATGCTGGGACTTATTTTGCTAAATTTTCCTCTTCCTTTCCTTCTTCCTATGCTGCCCTACTCAAAAGGTTCATAGGCATCTCTAAAAAACACTCCTCTAAAGTGCTGGCCTCCCTTAGTGTTCCAGCTAATTTTAAGCATGAATAGCCCAATGGACTTTGAGTTGTGGGTTTGTTGTGGGTTTTTTCAACAGTTACAGGAAGAAAATATCTGTATTTTCTTATTTTGGAACATATATTTTACATAAATGTAAAGCTTAGAAAGAAAACACCTACTGAAAACCAGCTGTACAGACCTCTTAAATGCTGAAAGATAATTTTTAAAAAATGCATCTTCTGCTTTACCTTATTTTCAGACATAACATTAGTCTGCTTATTAGGAACAGTACAGTCATTACTTGGCATATGTTAAAAGAATTTAATTTCTTATGATTATTTTATGTGCATAGAACAGATTTACAACATACTTTCGATGAAAGAATAATGGGAGTGTTATCGCTTAATTAGGAGAGATTTTCAAAAGCACCTTGTGGCTTGAATTTCAAGGTGACTTCGTGCTTTAAGTTACTTGGGTGCTTTGGAAAGCTGTGCCTTTGGTGCTCTACAAATTTTTAAGCTTCATCATAACTATAACCAGAAATTATGGAGAAATATCAGATATTCGCCTACTTTCCTATCGGAGTTTCTGCTTCTGAAGAAACAGCAGCATTATCACTTGTACACAGGAGTAGAGACCTAAGATCCACCCCACTTCAGCCAAATGACATTTTTAGTTCTTTAGTAGCAGCTAATACTGATCATTCAGGAAGAAGGAACACTGCCAAAGAGAGATGAGAAACAACCCTGTCGAGGGATTCTGTGGATGGCCAGGACCGGGCCTTTTGCAGATGCGAAAGTGAGAGTACAACTGAGAAGCCAGATTAGCAACCGAGATACTGAGCACAAACAAGTTTTAAGTACGAACTGAATAGTCCCATTCTATTCAGTCAAATGCTTTTTCAGCTTCTATCAAATCATCTGCCGCAGGGGAGTTTCGTTTATTTGCCAGGTGGATAATGTTGCACACAGTGTTCAGGCATTTTCAAAATCTGTTTCTGACAAATACCACTTGGGAGGTAGATCTACATCGTGTGGATTTCTTGTTACTAAGCAGTTTAGTTAATACCATGGCAAATATTTTATGACCTAAATTTATGGGAGCAATGATTCAATAATTACCACAGAAAAAAGGATCACAAACAAGTTTTAGAATGAAAATAAATTAGATTTTAATGGAACTGGCCACATTTAGGCAATTATTCACACAACAGCAGCAGACACATCACTGGAATGGGCCACATCCCTTGCCAAGTTTCAAGTGCTGACCAGCAAGTGCGAAGAAACTTCTCAAAAAAAGACTATAAATATTATCTTCAAGTAGTTGAGACATTGTGCCTTTCTTGATTTTATTCTAATAATGATAATAAAAGGTGAAATGTGCTAGCAGAAACTTTTTGAAAGCACTCTCTTCAAGAAAACTCTGGACATGGGACATTTCAGCCTAAATGGTAACAGTCTGAATACATTACACGTAACAAAAGCAATTTTCTGACAAGCTCAGGTAACTTAGCCATACATTAGCTCAAGAATTTTAGTAAAAGTGAAAATATTCAAAGTAGAAATTTGCTAAAGAATTCAGGCAGTGCTTCTGAATTTTACAAGGAAATCAGAATTGTGGGTTTGTAGTAGCAGCAAACTTTGCCTTACAGACATATTGTCTAGTCATCGTCATCATCATCATCATCATCATCATCATCATCATCATCATCATCATCATCTTTTTGATTGTAAATTTTGTAGTCTTCAAATTTGAAGGAGAAAAGACATTCTTCCTTTTTGGAGGGTCTAGATTAAAGGTGGGATAACTTTCTGGTTTATTGGAAGCAGTAGTAGCTAGGTCATGTATGAAAATGGATGTAGGCAGTTAAGCCCCTCTCATCCTTTGCACTTTCAGCTATGAAGTCTGTTCTCTGGAGATTATTCCTTAAGAATTAACTTTAAGTAATGTAATATATTTATTACCTATGTATATATCCACCTGGTTTAAATCAGGCTGAAGGCTGTTGACGTGTATTTTTGCCGGATTAATGAAATTGACTTTTTGAAAATTTGCAATCATAATTTTTTATTCAGACCAGGAAAAATGGTTAATTAGCTACTGTTAAATGCTTATGGCATCACATGACCACAGCAAGTGGAATGGCACATGGGAAATGTATCAGTGAGGGCCAGAGGAGGAAAGAGAATCAGTATCTCAGTGACTGGGAAGGAGGTCTCCTACTATGCAGAGGGGAGAAAGGAGAAGAAATGAGAAACCTTCCAATACACTAACAAATTTCCACCTTAGTTTCTTATCAGAGCTTCATTATCATTGAGTAAGGGACAGAAACAAGGCTGAGGTAGTATTTTAATCTCTAATCCTACTGACTCGGCATGAAAGCAGCACACAGCCCAGAATTAATGGAGACATATGAGAATGTTTGCACTGCCAGAAAGAGACAGCGATAACAGAGGGCTAAGGGTCAAGTCCATTAGCAGAAAATAACATTTTAATTCAGACTGCATTTAAGGAGTTTGGCTATTTCCAGTGCATCCATAGTTGGCTAACCTGCTGCAAAACAACCACCCTATTGAAGGAGGGAGAGAATAGTGGGTGTAGATCACCATTACTGAAATGAACTGTGTTAGTCTCTCTTAAGTTTCTAAAAGAGACAATGGATCAGGAGAATAAAAGGGTTTATTTAGAAAAGGAGCTTTCTATTCACAACTCACCTGGAACTTTTTTTTTGCCACAAAATACTGCATCCTCCGAATCACCTTGATGGCAGCGCGGTGGTGTTCCCGCAGCCTGTGGGGAAAACGAGGAGGGTGAGGCTGGGAAGGAGCATCTCTAACCAGACAGCAAATACAGCAGCCTGCAGAAAATCCTTCACCAACACCTCCATGTGCAGTGTAAGTAGTTGTGATCCAGCCTGGCAGCACAACACACCATTCTGCTGACCTTCCTCACCTTTCAAGAAGGCTCTGAAAATACAGGGCCTTATCTGACCCACGCTAGGTTTGCACCCATTTCACAGCTAAAAGAGGTGTCCACATAACCTCCTTCTGTTTCTAAGCAAACCTCCATGCATCCCTCCCAGTTTCATTTCCACAAAAAATCCCCCAAACTCTCAAGTTCCTGCATATCCAGCCAGGAACAGCTTTCAGTCACTTCAGTTTTTAGGATTTTTTGGGTTTGTTTGGGTTTTTTGAGGTGTTCACACCACAATTTCTGTACATGTTTCTTCACTTACATGATTTTTTTCCACAAAGAATTATTTAAATAAAAAATACTTGAAATATTTTTGATTTGTTGACTGCTAAATAATCCAAATGATCTTGTGGTTGCTGGATGCAACGGCTACATACATATTTATCCACAAATTGAGCTGTAACTTAATATAATGACAAAATAATCTCACAGGTCTTTAAAAAACATATATACCCCTCTTTGTGCATATGCATATGATCTGACAACAGAATAAAGAGAAAATAATTTGCTCATTGTGCTTTTAAATGACAGATGTTCATAGAACCTTACATTATTTTTCAAACAGTGCCTTAAAACCAGCAGTTATTTCAAATTTTTCAAAGCTTGCAAAAGTGATGCATTTTCCTTCTTAACATTAAAATATACTATCAAACATTAAGCTAATTACTCAGATTGTTCATTCTATTACTCTTACCAAGATGCACTTGAATGACATTACAGCATCATCTTTATTTCCTTTTTAACTGTATGAACATCTAGTGCTTCTAACTCTCATCCCAAACAGACTTCTAGTGATGGCTTTGGGGAGCAGATCTAAAAGGTGTTCCAGATGTTTTATCTTTATAAACTTATTATTAGTAATATTGATAGACTGGCATGTTGAGATGTCACCTTGCAGTGCTTTCTGTCTGTACAGAAAATGACAGCATTAATACTCACTAAGGCATGGAGAAGTCATACTCAATTCTACAAAAGTTTGTGCAAGTTTGGGGCTTTAGTATGTTATAGCATGGTATCACCCAAACCTCTTCAGCTAAATATAACCTGGAATTTTAGTGACTATTGAGGTGTTTCCTCGGGATAGCTCTACCCCAGCAAAAGTTCTCCATGTGCAAGTGCAAATGGTGGATGTCTGTCCTCTGAAGAGGTGTAGCTGGGGTGTTCCTCTTCTGAAAACTCATATTTTTTAGTAGGAAAACAGCATTCTGCAAAGCCAAAAGCAGAACCAAAATAAAAGCCATCACTTCCTACTTCTGGCTATTGCCTGTCAGGTGGATTCCTTCTGTTATAGAAATTGTTCAGATTTATCAGTGACAGAAAAGATTGCTTTCTTCAGAAATAGTACAAAATGCATTGCTTTTTAAGCTAGTAGCATACAGCTTTTCACCTCAGGTCTACAGATAGCTAACCCTAAGTGTATTTATAGAAATCATCTGTACCTCAATAGTTTTGCACAAAACCTGCAGTTGGATCTGCACAGGAAGCTTTTTCCCTCTTAACACTTTCCTGAGGTGTCTTAGAGACACTGTCTTCAGGCCTCTATTCCCACAGATCTGACTGCAACATCATGGTTTGAGTTACAAAAATGGACATTTTCTTCTCCTGACTGGAAGGGCTGTGTGTTTGGATCAGTTCCCAGTGGACAGTCAGCCTAATGCTTGTTCAGGGTACCCCTGTTCTATGAGCCTGCGCTGCATTATTCTGCTGCTAAGGGCTTGGATGACTTCCTCCAAACCCAAAGGAAATAAAGTGTTTGGGCTTTTAAGTACTGCATCACAGAGATGGGAGCCAAAAAGGTAAACACTGTTTAATTTTCTAGTAAATATCAAAGGTATGATATCATGCAGCTATACATCCTATACATAAAAGCACACAAAAACATCTTTTGATAAATAGAAATATATTTGAATTGCCATAAAACTGCCTGTAGTGCTTTGGTTTATGCCTCATTTCCTCTAGGGTGTTCTTCACAGTCCATTATTTCTGAGTAAAACATTTTTCTTTGGGACAGCCAGTCACCAGTAGAGCACACCAAATCCCGCATTCTCTAGCTAGAGGACAAGTCCCATCTATAAGCAAGGCAGGCAGATAATAAAAATGGTATTTGCCATTCAGTGAAATAACAAAGCTACATAACCAAAATGATTTTCCACTGCAGCTATTCAGCATCAATCATTTTTCAGTGCTAACATGAACTACCATGCCAGGAGGGAAAGTTAATATTCTCATTTTAATCCTTTCCACTTCCAGCTCCAGTAGGAAGCCTTACAGTAAGCTTGTTTCTGCTTATGCTGTACAATGTAAGTCTGCACAACAGGCTGTCCTGATTCCCCAAGATTAAATGCTTCTGCGATGAGAGAAGGGAATAAAGGATTTAATTAGTAGCCAAGGTTATGATTCACGGTTGTTTGATCTCTTTGGCAAACTGGTAACAAATGCTTTAGTAAATTGAGAGCTTAACCATTAACTGGTGATATTTGTTTGTTCAGCCACTTGTGACATCTCTGAATTCTGGTTACAGAGGGGCTGTCTGCAGCCTCTGGGCACATGGAGCACGCTTAGACGTCAGAGAGGTACTCAATGCATTACCGCCCTCACTTCTGTGAATACTTTATTTTTATAGGAGTGTGGCTGGAAATGACCTCACCTGAGTGTGCTGCCAGGGCACAGCACCTCACCTTCCTGGTGTGTCCATCCCCACAGCTGGGGGGAGACACCCTTTGGAGAAGCACTGCTGTGCACTGTGAGTCTCTGATGGCAGCGTAGAAGGGGCTTTCAGGGACTGCTGGGGTACTCCAGAGAGCCATTCTGCTGCAGTGATGCTGTGTGAGCTAAGCTCTCTGGCAACTGCAATCCCTCATTTTGAGATGTTTAGTTTTGTCTGACTTTGGGGGAAAGCTTGTTGGAGAAGTGCATTAGCAACAGGGTCAGTCGGCCTTTTGCCCTTTTGGCAACAAATCTATTTTCCTCTCCAGAGCATTCATCAGGCTTTGAGCCTCATTGTCACCATACCCATTAATATCATAACTGACACATGAAGGAACTTGCCAAGCACTGTTTGACTGATTCTAATAACCTGCAGCATGTTACCTTAAAAAGTTATATACACAGAATGCCATTAAAATCAAGCTAAAGGTTATTATTTCTGATACTGGATAACTTCTCAACCTGCACCCTTCTGAAGAAAAACTGAGCTTTCACTGGCTACCAGTAATTTTCTTTCTCAATATGAACAGGACATCAAGATCACCTTGACTACATCACATGCTATGTGACATTTCTCATGGACTTAAACTCACAGAATTAGGTCCTAAAGCCACCAAGGAATCCCCAACATTGTTATAACCCTTCAGAATTCAGAAGGATGAAGAAGGATGTAGGAATTCAACAACAGAAGAGCATCCTAGGGCAAACAGATTCATACAAACCTACATTATTTGCAGGTATAAACTAGGTCTGCTTTATATGTGCACTGAAAAACAACCTGTTGTGGATGCAGGCACTATACAAAGCGTAAGAAATGAGGATTAAAAAAAAAACTGGCAACAAAATACAGTGGATTGAGCAGCACTCACATCAAAAAAGAAAGCTTGGCATAATTAAATGACTAGAAATCCTTCATCTTCCCTGCCTCCTTTAGTTTTTAATATACTTAACCTACAACCAGTCACTTGGAGGAAACCTGATCTCTTCCTCAAATCTGAACTGGAATTTCCCTTAAATTGGGAAACAAGCATGATGAAGTACTTCATGCAATTCAACCAGCATTCCCATTGGTTGGAAAGTTGTTATACATTAATAAATGCTCTGAACTGTTCAGACTTTTGTACATTTGAACATATTTTTGTACATTTTGAACATATTGTTCATTATCCCCAACACAATCAGCCAAAACCTCAGTAGGTTTCTGAACCTGTGGCTCATTACCCAGTCCCACAACCCACTGACAGCTACAGTAAATGTCCCTGTTTAGTCAGCACCCACCTGCCTTCTTCTTCCTGCCAGGGGATATGCAGGGCCACTCCAGAAGAATGCTCTGGGACAAAGGCTAGAACTTTTTATTTGCAAGAACTGTGTGGCTTTATGAAAAAGGAGCTAAGCAGGTGCATGGCTCAGTTGCTCTATGATTCAAGAATTATAAAAACTTTTTTTTTTTTTAAATTAAACTTCACAGGATTAATCCCCATTCTGGAACAAAGTTATTTTGATAAAGAAGCAGAAAGGAAAAGCAATTATTAATTGGATCTATTTATTTTCCTTACAAAGCTGCTAAATTTTATATAAACCCTTAGTAATTCCATTAGAAGTTTGTTCCCCTTTTCAACTCAGGAAGGTGTTCTACATATTGGTTTAGTGTTAACAGAAACATTAAAACAACAGGGCAGAGGAAAGGTGGTGCTAATTTCTTATTTATAACACTTGCTTTTTTGTTCATGTGCAGAACATTTCATTATCAGGGCTGTAATGCACAGTGTACACAGACACTGATAGTATCAGAGCTAAAAGGTCAGCACTATCTATTCAGAATGAGCTTAACAAGAACAAAAACTCACTTGGAGAGAGACACAGATTTATAATATCTTTAACAAAATTCCCATTTTTCTGTAAACCTCACACTGGTTTGAAGTCAGGCTCAGTTATGAAAACCTATTTGAATTCTCTGCAGTCATCTTAAATTTCTGTCTTGGGACAGGGTAAAGTATTAAGAAAGAAGACTGAGTTTGGTTGGCCTGAAGCTTTTGGCAGTAATCATTATTTAGATTTGAGCTTTATCTTTAATGCATCAGTTTTTAATCATATGTTGTGCATGTGAACTG